GTTAGGATTGTAGGAGTGCTTCATTGTAGTCAGCTTCTGTTCTTTTTTAATATCCGGGTTCTTTTATCCAAAGGCTCCATGTAGCTATATGGTAGATACATGGGCCCTAAAGTAGTTATATGGGAGGGCCTTAAGTATATACTATATAGCTACATGGAGCCTTTGGGTTAGCCAAAAGTTCCACCTCCCCCAATTTAGCGTGCAGTTTGCAGCCTTGTATTTACCATGGATGTTACAGCGGGTTTAGGGTTCAGGGGGTGGTTGTCCGTGAATTCCGTTGGTTTAATTTGTTGATTTCTTACACGGATGATGGAGATGTTGTGCAGGCAACAGCACTGTGGGATATTGCGTTTTGCAAAATGTTTGCCCCTGCTTCGTGGCTCTCATGTATAAGGAATCTGGCGCTTGCGGTTCTGGGCCCTTTGCCTAAGAGTTTGAGATGTCTGGATAGCCTAAAGAAAGTATCTCAAGTCAACACATGGGCAGTCGAACTGCCCAACTGAGCTGGGGTTTGTAAAGTCCCTCAACCCTACACCCTCAAGGCCAGATAAATACACTTCGTATAGGGCAAAAGTTCAGACGGAAACTCGGTCAAACGTCGCCCAAAACTCGCTCAAAACTCGCGGCCGGAACCCAATACGACTCATACAAACCCTAAACCTTAGACCCTAAACCCTAAGCTAAGCTGTGAATCCGAAGCCTGATAGAGTTGGAACGTCTCCCCTGATCGCTTTGTAGCACTCCCTAAGGGTCCAATTTAGGGCTTAGTCTTCAGGGTTTAGGTAATAGGATGTAATAGGTTTCTGGGGCCCAAGTACTATATGTTTAATGGTATTTGGGCCTGAAGGCCTTACCCAAATGATAGGGTTTCGGGCCCCAATGCTATAATATGAATGGTATTTGGGCCCTAAAGGCCTTTTATTTGGGTCTTTGGAACCTTAGGGTACCATAGGAGCCTTCGTGAGTAGGCTAATAAGGGGGCCTTTTGAAGCGACCTCACCCGACCTCACCCGATATCGTGGTTTATATCGGGAATGACGGCAAAATTGCCTTAAATTGGGAAATGATTTACTCTAAATTGCCCTGTAATAAGGGGCAGAACTAGGGTCATGATTTGGATTATACGGGTTATTCGTATATATATATATACTTACAATTACTTACTAAGTCCCCTTGACCCTCCAAGGTAGGAACCCATTCCACAACGGGCTCATCTTTCTTAGAGGACAACTCTGGGTTTCCTAGCAAATTGTTCGCTGAGTTTGTTTGACTCCAATTAGGATTATATAGGGGTCATATTGGGGTTTTATTGGGGTTATATAGGGGTTATATTGGGGTTATATTGGGGTTATATCTCGTCCGGCGGTTTTTGGCCAAGTGCAATTTTGCAGCTGCCACCTGCCCCCTTGAGTCGAAGACGATGTTCCAATTCTGCTATGCGCCAACTGTGGAGTCATCGGTAGATGATGACCTCATAGATAGTATGCCGCCGTGGAAGGAACCTGACGAAGCTCCTTGCGCTGCTCGGATAGCTCTAGGGTTTAGGGCTTGGGGTGGTTGTTGGTAGGTGCACTTCGCGACGTGTGGCCCCTTGTTGCGTGTAGAGCCGGTGTTTGACATTGTGACTTGGAATTGCTCTTCTCATTACAACTTACTTTTACGGGGTCATTGGATCTCTCTGCTTGGTTGTTCATTCAGTTTCACTGAACAGCCAGCCCCTATTGGAGGTGACCTATGAAACGTTTGAAAAAACACCTGAGTAGTTTTCATGTTCTTTTCCATTATCCCAATAATATCCCCAATATATACCCCTTTATAACCCAAGGGGGAGACTAAACCCTCTCGAAAATAGGAGTTTCCAGTTTATGCATACTGTAGGTAGGCAGAGCGCCACCCTCCCGAGAATATGCTGAGGGCGCCAAGGTATCCCTCCCTGTTTGGAGAAACTCCCATAGCCTAAGGGTCCAAGAGTCCAAGATAAGATTTTAGGGCCCAAGTACTATTGAGATTAACGTAAAGAAGCCCATTATTTGTGTCCTTGGACCCTTAGGGATAGCGCCTTAAAATTCTGAAGCCCTAAATCCTACACCCGAAGCCGACACAATGTTCAAACCACTGTGCGGCCGTGATGCATGGTCTTATCTTTTGAGCTACGCCATGCCTTGATGTGGGTATTTCGAAAAATGCAGGTCGTCCTTAGAAAGCCCAGACAACTAGAAGCCTTCTTTGCCAAATGGGGTGTTGCAAAACTCAACCCTGAACCTTGAACCCTGAACCCTAAACCCTGGAAACTTTAATACTTTCCCCAAACACTTAAACCTGCAGACTCATTCAAGGAGGTTTAGGGCTTGAGTTTAGGGGAGTAGTTCGACCTTTTGAGATGGACGTCGACTATAAGTGGGGTAGCTTAGGGTAGTTTAGGGTTCGTTGTGGGTCCTTTATTGTAATACTGTGGAGTTATCTTTCGCGATGGTTCAAGTTGCCGTGGTCATCTCCTTCATTTTCAGCACCGAAACTTTGCGAATGGGTTCCCCTCTTTCTCGCACTATACTATTCCCCCAAGGCTCCCCCTTAATAAACATTATACATGGATAATTAGGGGTTTACCTCAGGCTAAGTAAGGGCAAGCCTAGGGTCTAGCATGGGGAGCTAACCCGAAACCCCAAAACCCCTGAACCCTAAACCCCCAAACCCTAAACCCTAAACCCTTTAAAGCGTGTAAGGACCAGAGTGAGGAAGCGACAGGAGAACCTGACGGCGAACCACTGTTAGATTCTTCAGTGGTTCAGTGGAGTAGTGATGTTTAGGGTTCAGGGTTTGGAGTATAGGCTCAGTCTGGGACAACTACAGGGGAGAAATTCCTTATACAATCGTGATCATGCGTATGTGTATAAGTACTCCGTCATGTGGTCATGTGCTACTTGTTCCCATAGCTTCCAAAAAAAGCCCTGGACCGGGACTAAGTTACATAGGAGAAATCGCCAGAAGGAGGTACATAGCCCAAATGGTGCATGTAGCTAGATGGTATAGGGTTTAGGGCTTAGGGTGTAGGGTATGTATATACTATATGCCTGGGGCCCAAATTAAGCATATGGGGACCCCTTGCGGCCCTAAGCATATGCTATAGACCTACATGGACCCGGTGGATAGGGCTGTGTATCAAGGTTTCAGGAGTCTTCGCTCTGCTTTCCTTGTACGGATCCGTGTCCAAAGGGGGTGAACTAGTAAAGGACTGTGAGATCAGTGTGCAGTTGTTTTCCTGTAAGAAGAGCAGGTCAGTCCTTCCCGAAGGAAAAAGGTTCAATGGTTGAAGGGCTTCGACGCAGTTTGTGAATAGAGGCAGTATTTCAGGCTTGGCTGTACAATGCATGGTGCACCCGAGCCATTATGTGAAACCAAGCAACAGATAAGTAGAACAGTAGAACAGTGTGTTGGAGAGGTACATGCATTGCATAATGCGTTACGATAAGTACGACCTGTTCATGGCCGTTACATGGGTGCAGTATCCAACCTAACTCTTGGCGGTAATTCCCAAATCCTAAAGCCTCAAACCTGAAGCCTGTAAGCCCTATGAACCCCGAAATCCTACACTACCGATTCTTAGTAGGGAATATGGGAGTATACTCTCCCTGTATAAAGCCTATACAATAGATTCCCATATTCCTACTAACAACCAGTAAGTATATGCTAGAACCGCTAATTGGGGTACACTGCCATATGCTAGAACAGCCACCTGGCGGTACTTGGAGGGTCAGGGGAACTTAGTAAGTAGCCTAATAACCCCCATAACCCATATAGTAACCCTAGTTATCCCCATTATTAGCCCACTTACTCAGTCCCCCTAAACCCTAAGGCCGTTATTCACCTACTTACTACGTCCCCCTGACCGTCCAAGTAAGGACGAGAGCATCGGAACGGCGGGAGAAGCTGATGGCGAGCTAGAGAACTCGAGCACCTGCTCCGACCCCTGGGAGTTTAGGTTTTTTGGTTCAGGGTGGCCCCAGGGACTCAAATAGCCCAATGTAGGTAATGTTTACAGGCTTTAGAGCCCAATGTAGGTATTACTTGTATACTTGGATCCCTAGGGTAGGGTTTTGATACAGTTTCGGGTCTGGGGTTTGAGGTTTTTGATTTAGAGTTTAGGGGTTGCTTCTAACCTTAGGGTTTATAGGGTTTAGGGATTGCTGTGAACCTTCGGGCTTCAGGGTGTTCAGGGTTTGGAGTTTGGAGTTTCTTTAAATGAGCATGGGAGTTTCTCGAAATGTCCGTCTTGCGGGACCTATACTGGGGTCAAGGGATACGGATATAGGCCAGGTCTCCCGACGAGGAATACACGAGGACCCTAATAGGATCACCGTTATCCTGTATAGTCCTACGATAAGGATTAAGCTTGGCACTATTAAACGTCCTCGATAGGCTCAACGTCAAGGGCAGTATATTTCTACAAATATGCTTCCTAGTCAACTCTTACTGAGTAAAGGCACAACCCAAGATTACAGGTCTAGCTTTACCGTTCAGGGTGTAGGAATTATAGGGTGTACGCTATACCACCGGGCAAGTATGACGGCCTCGCCAACCTCTCCCCCCCATGGAGGGACCAGGGTCACGAGGGATGAGGCTGTAGCGTTTCGAAGGTTTTCGGAGGTTTTTGATTTTAACCACCAGCAACTCTTCAACGTTTGTGGTTTCGATTGGGTGCTGCCCCCATCCAGTGACAGTTCGATGTTCATTACATCATTGTGATATACAAACCTTACTACAGATGGTATTCAGTCGGGGTAATACTCAAGGTTTCGATTGGAAATCTGTCAGAACGAAGACAATTGCACACACTAGAGCAAATCCTTGAGGACACGTAGATGTTTGCATTGCCAGTGGGTTGAAATAGCAAGATAGCAACATGCGCACTCCCATTTGCACCAGAAGGAGCAAATAATCACCATCATTGCCGGCAAAGTGAACCTTGCAGCATTTTTTTACGCGCCCTGGAAACAGTTCAGGAGCTGTCTCTTACTTTCTGCCGGCCGAATGGAACCAAGCAAGTTGTGACCTTCAGCTCCAAGCCGCTGTGCTTCCGCCACTCACGTGAGTATCCATACGTGGTGACGGAGGTGGGGTCCGAGCTACCACACATTGCTTCTGCTGACGTGCAGCCGAACTGGGTTCTGACACACGTGAACGGTACGAAGCTGCACAAGCATTGGCCTAAGGCTGTGACACAGCTCAGACATGCTGTGGGACGGCTGCCTCACAAGAGTGCCAAGGCCCATAGGCATTCTCCTCATTCAAGAAGAAACACCGTCGACTCCTCGCCAAAGGTGAGTGAGAAGATTGTTGCGATGGACCTCTTAGGCAAGGTGCCAAAGAGCGTGGATCTTAGCCTTTGGAGCTATGAGGGGGCCTTAGTCAGGTGAAAGTCAGAGGCGAAGCTTCTGTACTTGTATCGCTGATGACTATGACTTTGATATGGCCTTCATGTAGCATGTTCTTGAAGCACATGTGTGAAACACTAAACCAATCCGTGAGTAGTGCTAAACCCACGATCATTGCGGTAGTTCCGAGGAATAGTTTTGAATGTGGGTTTTCCGAAATGGGCGTCCCCTACGCATATCTTACCAGGACTGATCTTGGTCAGGAGGGCTAGCAATTCGGGACCGCATGTTTGGAAATGCCCATGTGGCAGCCATGCCTAGAGTGCTGCTAAGGAACTTAATCTAATTTACCATTACGAGGAAACCATGTAGTTTACGCAACCATTAAATGGTACCTTAACTTAAGTTTCCTCAGCAGCAACCCAGATGCCAGACGGCTATCTGTTGCTGCGTCTCGCTGATCGCGGCTTCCGGGTCAGTCTATTTGCCCAGGGCTCCAAGTGGCCGTACCACATCGAATGCTTTAGGGTCCTGGTTCTTCTAGAAACTCCTATACCGTAGTATTTTAAAGAACATACCATAATGTATTTTTAATGACAATGCAACCTCAGGACCTCGCCCACATTTTGCTATAACAAAAAATCCAACCGCCTCAACATGCGGCACTTGGACCCACAGGGCTTTTTACACGTGCACGCCACGTGAGCTGTCCTCTGCACTCTTCTGTAGGAAAAGGCTCCAAAGGATTGCGATTATCGGCATATGGGCCATTGTCTAAACTCCTAGTATCCCCCTTAATATCCCCTAAGGTAGTCCCCTATGTAATCCGCTAAAAAACCCCCTTTAAGGAGTTTAGACTATAGCTCATATGGTGGTCCACGGCATGTGATCGATTAGTTTTAGGCACAGCTGCCTTTCAGAAATTGATGGGTCTCCCGGTCTCCCCGCTCACTTTCCCGGTCCCCGGCCCACCCCTCGAAATTGGATATTCCCAAGCGGCTCAGGAACTGTTAGCTTCTTTGAATTGGCTGAAAGACATGCGTTTCGTGAACCCGGCATGAGGACGCAAAAGCTCCATGTAGCTATATAGTATATACTTGGGGCCCAAAGGGGTTCCCATATAATTAGCTATTTTAGGGCCCATGTATTTACCATATAGCTACATGCAGCCTTTGGGGTATGAAGCCAGGCTACCCGCAGAAGACAGTCCCAAGTTGACCTTATTTCACGTTAGGCGGCTTAGGCAGTAAGAACAGCAGTAGTAATTTAATGATAGTAGTAGTATCAGTAGTAGTAGTAGCAGTAGCAGTAGTAGCAGTAGTAGTAGTAGTAGTGGTGGTAGTAGTCGTGCTAGTTCTAGTACTAGTAATAGTAATAGTAGTAGTAGTAGTAGTAGTAGGAGTAAGTTCTTCTGTTTTGGCCAGTGCAAGGAGAGTGGACTGCAGCTCAGACAAGGGGGCGCTGTTTGGTACCCTTTGTCATGTACCATTTGTCATACAAGTTTTGGTGTCCAATTTTGCCCTTCCAAACTCCGGAACTGCCGAGACTAAAGGGATCCTGAAACGTACTTACAGTAGGGAATAGAAGAACTTTAATGACTTTTTTGGGCTTCCTTTTGGGTCTCTATAATTCAGTAAAGACTTTTTAGCATTGGTTATTGGGGAAGAGAGGTAAACACGATTTAAGGGTCTAATCGGTTTAGGTTTAGGGGTCTAGGGACCTGTCTTAACCCCCGCACATACTGGAAACCGCAGACTCAGAAGACCTCTGCAATTTTAGGCCTGGTGGTGTTGGGTCCTGGGTTTAGAACAAGAAGGTTGCTGCTTCTGTCAAAGGCTTAGGGCTTGTTGTTGAGGGTTTAGGGTTTAGGGTCAGTTCAAAAGACCTCAGACGTGAGTTCCAGAGAACGGGTTGCTCGGTATAGCAGTCCCTATGTTAGCTCCTATGTTCGTCATACTGACTACAACCCATCAACCCATTTCCCCATTCAACCCTAAACCCTACCACCCTAAATCCAGAAAAACATAGTAGTTCCAACCCTAACCCTTAAGCGCTAAACCCTAAACCCTGAAAAGCCTAGTAGTTTCAACCCTCAACTTTAAACGCAAAACCATACCACCCTAAACCAAACAAATCATAGTAGCTTCAACCCTAAGCCTTAAACACTAAACCCTAAACTCTACCACCCTAACCCACCCACCAAAAAAACAAATAGAAAAAATAAACAAATATTAGTTTCAGCGCAGTACGTCCGGAGAACTCGAGTGGCATCAAGCCCGTAAGTTGGCTTGGACTACAATCAGTATACTCCCTTCATACGGGTTTAGGGTTTAGGGTTCAAGTTACATCCCGCCCACCCATAATGTAGAAATAGCATTCCCCCCCAAAACAAGGTTTCTTGTAGGGAATACAGTTTAGGGTTTGGGGGGTGGGGGTACATAATATTAGTATGAAGGGAGTTAGATTCTCTGTGCCCCAAGATAGGACAGACCCTCTAAGACTCTAAGGTTGTTTGGTTTAGGATTTAGGGTTCCAAGCGTCCTTCTCAGGGGGTCTGTCCGATTCGGGAGTCCCCTAAGAATCGATCCTGTTCAGACCGGGCGAAGTAGAATCCGCCTGCGCAAAGGTGAAAAGGGAACGAGTATAGACACAGTATTCACGGTTCAGGGCTTTGGCCGGGCAAATCATAGCAACCTCATCCGACCTCATCCCAAATGATTAAACCCTAAACTCTAAACCCGAAGGGTTTTCAGGCTCATCCCAAAACATTAAACCCTAAACCCTAAAGTCTGAACCCTAAGTGTTTTCAGGGTTTAGGTTGGCGGTGTACGGTTTGGCGGGTTGTTCTGGCTTGGCTTTGGGATACTGGAATGCTTTCCTGCTGGGTTTTCAGAGTATACATTGCGCTAGCAGCTAGCATGCCAAACATGTCCAAAGGCCTAGCCATCGCGCTGTACCACCATCGCACATCGAATAAATGAAAGGTATTCTGTAAACACTGTTGGTATGGGTGCAGAATTTGTGTACATTACTTTTGGGGCTATACTGCGGTAGGACAAAAGTTCGACCTACTTGTTGCAAGCGAGCGCTACAAGCAGACCCCTTCTCCCCCATAGACTCCTCCACTGAGCATTTT